TTAACAAAAATTCACACTTAGAAAGTTTGACATACAATTATTTATCTTTCAAGATTTGAAGAACAGTTCGAAGGTGTTCTTCATGCTCCTCATGAGTTCGAGAATATATGAGAATATCATCTATAAAGACCACTACAAAAAGATCTAAAAATGGATGAAAAATCCTATTCATATAATTCATGAACACTGTAGGAGCATTGGTCACACTAAAAGCCATCACTTGATATTCATAATCACCATACCTTATTCTAAATGCAATTTTCTGTATGTCTTCTGCTTTCACTTTAATTTGATGAGATATCTTTATATTAGATCTATCTTAGAGAACACAGTTGCTTCTCTCGATTAATCCATCAAGTCATCTATCTTAGGAAGAGGATATTTATTCTTTATAGTAAAATTTTTTAATTGTTAATAATCTATACATAATCTAAAACTTTCATCTTTCTTTTTCACTAACAGAATAGGAGCCCCTAAGGTGATACACTAGGGCGTATAAATTATTTTTCAAGAAACTCTTCCAATTATTTCTTTAGCTCAGCTAATTCAGAAGGTGACATCCTATAAGGAGCCAATGAAATTGATCCAATTCCAAGCATCAAATCAATTGAAAATTCAATCTCTCTCTTAGGTGACAAACCAGGAATATCATTGGGAAAAATATTAGAAAATTTTTGAATAACTGCTATACCTTTCAAATCAACTTCCTCTTTTGCTTCCATAGAAGATAATATTAAATATCCTTGAACTTTACTCCATGAAAACTTGTTTATTAGATTGGATAATGAAATCGATAGGTCCTTAAAATTTGACAAAATATTACAGACTTTTCTGTACAATTGAGAAGGACATGATTGGAAGATAACCAATCCATACCCAAAATCACATCCAATTGTGATAAAGGTAGACAGATCAAATTTACAAGAAATATTCTATCACCAACGAAAAGAGGAAAATCTAAACAAACTTTATTGGAAATCATAGATTTATTTATAGGAGTTGAAACAATTAGATTAGTCTCTAATGAAGAAACTGACAATTGAAGGTGTTAAATGCAATTATTAGAGATAAAAGAATGAGTTGCGCCTAAATCATACAGTACTTTCAAAGTTTTACCTTTAATGAAACATGTACCTTGTATTAGATCGTTGTTTTGAGTAGCTTCAGTTCCAGTCATGGTATATAAACTCTCTTAATTGTAGTAGGCCTTGGTTTGGGTCCAGAAGTATTTGCATGTGTCTTTGGTTGTCCACACTTAGAAAACACATGACTATGCTTCCCACATTTGAAACAGAGAGGTTCTTTGAGATGACAGTCCTTAGCATAATGTCCCTCTCCACACTTAAGACACTTAATCTGATTATTTATAGGTCTACCAAAATTTCCTAAAAATTAAGAAGATTGGAATTTCTATTAAGGTCGATCATAAAGTTTTTCTCCATTATTTCTTTTTTTGTTAAATTGAAGGCCAAAAGATTTTGGTCCGTTATTCTTATTATGATCAAAACCTTTCAGAAAGTGACACTTGTGGATTAGTGTAGGAAAATCAGAAATTTCTAATATTCCTATTGCATTTCTTAATTCTGGTCTAAGTCCATCCTCAAATTTAATACACTTCATTCTCTTATTAGGGTAATAAAATAAAGTGGAATATTTTCCCAATTCTTCAAACTTAGAATCATATTCTCCTACTTTCATGTTCTCTTGTTTTAATTGCATAAATTCTATTTCTTTAGCTCTTCTAACATAATTAGGAAAATATTTTTCAAAAAATTTAGCTCTAAATAATTCTCATGTAATAATTATTCCTCCTCCTTCTAGTATTATCTCACCAATATCATGTTTCTCCTACTAACAAAAACATCACATAATTTACTTTTTGGTTATCATGACAATCCATAGCTCAAAATGTCTTTTTATTTCTTTAATACATAATTCAGCTTTTTCAGGATTATATCTCTGTCAAAATGGGAAGGTTTATTTATCCTAAACTCAACCAAACCTTGTGATTCACCCAATCATTTTGGTTTTTGATTTCTTAACAAGGCTACAACCATATCTTTAATAGCTTGCACAGCCTCTGTCAGTTCTGTATTTCTTTTTCCTGTCATCTAAAACTTTTATAGGTTAGTTTATCATATTAGAAACATGGTTAGCACATTTCCGAAGTTACACATGGAACGTTGCTTTGATATCATTAAAATGTAACACCCATTAAAAAAATGACTTATAATATCTATTTAATAAAATAAATATAATAATAATAATAATAAAGATAAATTATTACACAACCTATAAAACCCAAAGTAATTAGAGATGCGTAAAGGATAAGTTTAATTATTACTCAAGCATATAATTACAAGACACATTTACTAGCATTTTTATCAACTATTTACAAAAGAAGGAAAGTTTTTTTTTCTTTTATTTATTTATTATTTCACAAACCCCCTTCATATTTCTTACAATATTTGTACAATAAAAGATATTATATATTATATAGTGGGTTGACATGGTTTGTTGGAGCAAGAGTAAAAGTGATGGTTAGAGGTCCATCAAGGAGGATTGGTGAAGCCTTGTTTGGTAGCATTATTATTGAAGATCCTTGTCGATGGAAGGTGACTATATTATTTTGTGTATTAATTGTCCATCGCATACCAGGGAAAATGACGTGTACCAAAAGCGGTGAAAGATCCAACATGGGGTGAATTCATCTATATATCAATTAATAATATACATACACACACGCATGCACACGCGCGCGCACACACACACACACATACACACACACACGCACACACACACACACACACACATATATATATATATATATATATATATTAAAAAAATATAAAAGGAGTGAGAACAATTATCCAATAAATACAAATTAATAAATAGAATGTACAAAATTATTTTGTAACCAATATTAATTATAAATTTTATATTTTTCTTATTGTAGTGAAATTTAAATTATCCTTGTAGTGACTAGTTAGGATAAAAATGAGTTTTATTATAATATAATAGCGAAAGGATATTTCACCTAAAGTTCTTTATTTGTTTAAATCCTCAAGTTTAAATCTCTAACTATAAATTAATTCAAATTTTCATTCTTATAACCATAGATTAACATTTATCTTTATAAGGAATGGTAATATAATAATAAGTTGAGCTTAGGACGATTAACAAAACTAGATTATAGTTAATTAGAAATAATAAAAATGTTAATTAAACTATACAATTTATAATATTTTTAATTATATAGAATTTAGTACAACATAGTTTACAACAATAAGATGTGTTTAAGAATATTAAACTAGTTATATGACAGATGTAAATATCATAAAATAAGAAAACAACATAAATTAATAATACCTTATTGGTTACTTAGAGTTAAAAGTATCATAGAGTAAATAAGTAAATGAGGTTAGGAACACCTTTATCACTAAATAAATATATAGATATAATATAAAATAAATAAATTAAATAATATAAAAAATTTAAAAGAGATAAAGGTCTCCTCCCCTTACCTTAACAAAAGAGTGAAATTGGTTAAAGATAACTTAAATAAGGTAAAATGAATTTTTCCCACTTTTTTTTTTCCTCGAATTCCTTCTCTTCCTTCTTTCTCACTTTCTTACTTCTTTTCTCTCGTTCTCTCCCTTTCTTCAATTTCCTCTCCTGAAGGTCCTCCCTTATCCTATTTATAGTCAAACTTAATTATTATTATTATTTTTTAAACCATTTAGTTCGAATTGAATTGCATGTTTTAATCCTCTTTTCTTATAGATAATTCCTATTACTAAGAGATAAGAGGATGAGATTCCTTGCTGATTTTATCTGCAACAGTTTGTTTTTAATAAATCTTCCCTCTTTCTATATACATATATATTTTAAAAAATTAAAATAGTTTTATTACTTATATTAAATATTTAAGATTTAACATAATTAAAATATTATTCTGAAAAATATTATAAATAAAATTTTAAAATTTTAAAATATTATTTAATATTATATAATTTCATTTTAGTTTACTGAAAATATTGTAATAAAAATTTTAATATATTGTAATTATATAAAAATATTATAATTAATCTCTATTTATTTTAAAATATGATAACTAGAAATTTAGACTATTATTTTTAGAATAAGATAATAATAATAAAATTGAGAACATTATAATATTGTATCCGAAATTTAGAATATTATAATTTTATTCTTAAGTTTTTAAATATTAAAAATTAATCATTCTACTTAAACTCAATTTTTAGATTCAAAATCTAAATGTAATACTAATTAATTTATTAAATATTAGTATTTATTAAATATTTTTATTAAATAATAAAGGAGATTATCCTATTTGGTGTCTACAATTTCTATATCTATTTTTTTTTCCTTACTAACTTCTAAAAAAATTGTTAAAAATATTAAAATAGTAAAAAAAAAATATCATTAAAAAAGTATCATTACGGAATGTCTTTTTCCTATTATTAAGTTTGATTAAAAAAAAAGACACAGAAGACGTACAACTGAGTCGAAAAAAAAGGGTGAGTTAAAAAAATGGCGAGGAAGGACGTTTTTTATTAACCCGTCGAATCCAATACGTGATATGGTGCTTAATGGATACAATCACTTTTCTTTTTTCTCAGTTTCCATGTTTCTTGTTTTTATTTATTTATTTATTTTTTGATACATGGTACGTTTCTTTTCATAAGTCTATTATTAGGCTTATACTATTTTTGTTTTAATTTTCATTCTATATTTGTAATCCATTGATTAGTTCTCTAAATAAATGTTAAGTGTCTGCTTATCCAAGAATATTTTCAAACTTCACAGTCAACATGTATAATAACTGAAATAATTTTAAAAAAAAAAAAAATATAT